CTCACTATTTTTACAGACCTTCTCTGGGTCTCTTTTCAGAATTGGAAGAACCATATTACAACTTTCTCAGGCACATTGCAGTGAAGAAAGTATTGGCTTACTCAAAACAAGAGCACACAGTCAGTACTTCTCAGATGTGGAAGAACATTATAAAGGGTATGGGAAGATGAAGGAAAAATCCCCCAAAGAGGTTACACTTGTGAGCTTGTAGGTTAACTCAGGTATCTTAAATTTGAACAGAGGATGGCAATTACTATTAATAACAATGTGAACAAAGAAACATTAGCTAACATATTAAACTTAATGGTTTATTGAGTACTAGGCAGTGTACTGTTTTGCATGTAGTATATCATTTTTTTCTTCATCTAGCCGTACAAAATTTGTAGTATTTACAGTCATTTGGATGATTATTACCCAGCCCATGTTGCTGACTTTGGTTGGTGATTTCATTACTATATAGATGCACCTTGGAAATTATTTCAGCCAATTAAATGGTGATCAGCCTTTTCATTTTCCAGGCATTGAACACTTAAAGTGCACGCACATACTTGAATACATAGCTCATTTGTGATATTTTAAAGCAGTTATCATAGGATAAACATGCTAAACAACATGGACAATGTTTATAGTTATTTAATATTATGAAGCAAACTATTCAAACAAACTAATAATTCAAGTATAAATCAAATCTCTCTGAAACTTTCTGTCTTCAGAAATTATAAGATTACATTTAGGAATTTTATTCTGTTTTTGTTTCCTACCGTTCCAGATAAGTGAAAGTTATTTGATTCATTGTTATAGCTACAGATAGTTTATTTCTATCCATTCTGTTTTTCTCACACATTTATAGGAAAGATGATCAACTGCAAGATGAATTTTAATGCACACAATTAAATGCATTAACACTTTATGAAGAAGAAGCTAAGTAGATGACCTCTCACCTGATTATTAAAAATGCATCACTTAACATTTTTAAGTATCTGGTTGCATAATGATGGGGTAATTGAAACACTTTTTTGTCTCTAATTGTATGAAATAGACTCTGTAGTACTATAGTACCTTGTAGAGTTATTATCATAGATTTCCCAAGGCCCAGTCAGGTGACGTTATCTCCACTTCATAATTACTGCCTGTTTAGCTTTGTTAGAGTTCCACACTACAACTCAGGAAGTCAATGATAGGAACCCCGGAAGATTAGACAAAGCAGAACAGCTTCAGGACCATCAAGTTGAAACTACGGCAACTGATGGGCAGCTCAATACCTGTATATAAAGTCATGATCACACAGGAGAAATAGTTGTGCAAGATGGTTGATGTCCACCTACAGCATTATTAGGCAGTTTTACAACCAATTACACTATTTAATTAGAAAACATTAGCATAATCTTTAGCAGAGGGCAATATAATTTCTACAAAACAATGAATATTGTTGGTTTGCTCTGACAAATCTGACAAAATAAGTATGTGTATTCCAAATTTAATTATTTTTTCACTGCCTCATTGCTTTGGCAGAGAATTAGAATGAGCAGGGATCTCTCCACAGTACAATTCTCTACCAAGTCCACGTCAATGTAGCCTCAGTTTATGGTGAATAATAACCAAGTGTGAAAATTGTTTCTGAAAGATACCTCACAGCTAACTGTAGTGGGCTGCCTCCAACCTTATTATGTGAGTGCTGATTTTGATTATTTCTTTCTGTCTACTCCTTTTGGTGTGTGGTACCTTCCTTTTGTTCTAGAGCTTAGAAGTATAATATAGGTGCTTAGTGCAATGAATTTGTCTCTTAGAACAGTCTTCATTGTGTTCCACCAAGTTTGGGTATGTTGTATATTCATTTAGCCAATTCTAGAAAGTCCTTAATTCTTTTCTTAATCTCTGTATTGACCTACTTTTATTCAACCAAATTGTTCAGTTTCCATGAGCTTTTAAACTTTTTTTCTGTTGTTAATATCCAGCTTTAGTCTGTGATGGTCAGATAGGATACAGGGTGTTATTGCAGTTTTTCTTATATCTTATATTTTCTTATATCTGTGAAGTCTTTGCCATGTCTAAGTATGTGGTCAGTTTTGGAGAATGTTTAATGAGATTTTGAGAAGAAGGTATATTATTTTGTGTCTGGGTGGTATTTGTTAGACTTAGCATTTCTGTGCTTAGTTTCTGTCTGGATGACCTATCTCTTGCTCAGGGTTGGATATTAAAGTCTCCCTTCATAGGTGGATGAGGGTCAGTATATGTTTCTTTTGCAAACTAGCCGGACCGTATGTTTGTTACATAGATAGGCATTGAACTGTTCTCTGAGTGGTTTTTTTCTTGGATGCATATGCAGTGTCCTTCCCTAACTCTTCTGACTAGTTTTCGTTTGAATTCTATTTTCTCAGATATTAAAATGGCTAGACCAGCTTGCTTTTAAAGTCCATTTGCTTAGGAAAATCTTTTTTCCTCTTCCTTTTATTTTGAGATAATTTCTATTCTTGATGTTGATGTCTGTTTCTTGAATTTATCAGAAGAATGGATCTTGCATTTTATTCATTCAATTAGTCTGTGTCTTTTATTTAGAAATTTAAACCACTGATGTTGAAAGATATCAATAACCAGTGATGTTTATTCCTGCTATTTTGTTGTGGTGGTGGTAGTAGTGTTGGTGACCATGGTGGTGAGTGAGTGTGTGCACATATGCGTGCATGTGTATGTGTGTGTGCTTACCCATTTTGATTTGCTGGTCTGGTATTATTTATTCCTTGTGTGTTCTTGTATGCAGTTAACCTCTTTAGTACTGTATTGGAAGATATTGGTTAAATTTCACTTTATCTTGGAATATCTTGTTTTCTCCAATTATGGTGATTGAAAATTTTGTTGGGTATAGTAGGCTGGTCTGGTCTGTGCTCTTTTAGAGTTTGCAAAACATCTGATCAGATCTGTCTGTTTTTTAGAGCTTCCACTGAGAAGTCAATTATAATTCTAATAGGTCCTCCTTTACATGCTACCTGATTTTTCCCTTGAAGCATTTTATATTCTTTCTTTGATTTGTATATTTAGTGTTTTTATTTATTTATTTTTTTGTGGGTAGGAGTTTTTCTTTTCTTGTGAAGTCTATTTGGTATTCTGTTTGTTACTTGATAGGTATTTACTTTTTTAGGGTAGGGTGTTTTCTATTATGAATTGTTGAACATATTTTCTGTCATTTGATCTTGGTTTCTTTCTTTCCTCTATTCCTATTATTCTGAGCATTGTTCTTATCATATTATCTCAGATTTCCTAGATATTTTTGGTAGGATTCTTCTACATTTAATCTTTTTTTCTGACTGAGATATCCATATATTCTTTGTTCCATCTCTTGTATTCTTTTAGTGAAGCTTGACTCTGAGATTCCTGTGTGAGTTCCTAAGTTTTTCATTTCTAGACTTCCCTCAGTTTGGGTTTTATTTGTTGATTTGATTCCTGATTTAAAACCTTGAACTACTTTTTATTTATTTCCTCCCACCTACTGATATGTGGGTATCTCATACATTTCTTTAAGGGATTTATTCACCTTCTCTTTAAGAACCTCTGTCTTATCCATAAATGCGATTTTATGGTATTTTTCTTGTGCTTAACTAATGCAGTTTTCTGAGCCTACTGTGGTAGGGTTGCTGGGCTCGAGGAGAGGTGCATTTCCCTACTTGTATTTTTATGCTCAAGTCTAGCCATCTGGGTCTGGAAAGATTCTAATCTAGTTTTCTATATCTGTTTTTGTCTTTTTGGGTAGGTATTTTGTTCCCTTTTGTTTGATTGTTTTTTTTTTTTTTGGTTTTATTTTTATTTGGTTTTTCCTCTCTGCTTCTTAGGAGAGTGTGTTTGTTGTGTGTTGTCTGGTGGGAAATTCTTCTGGGTTCTTGCTATATGTAACCAAAGGAAGGGAGGAAAGAAGGTTGTTACATGATGATTTGCTTAGTGTTCTAGAAATAGTGGCAAAGTGAAGAGAAACCAAAGTAGATGGTCAGCTATAAATCTCTTGGAATGAGACTCAGGGATTGGATATGGAAGAGCTGAGAGAGAGAGAGAGATGAAGATCTCCAGTCAGCCTACCTGAATCCCTGACCCGAATTGTTTGTGCGTTCTTAGGAAGTGTCTGCTAGCTTTGGAACTTTGATGAAGTCATGATTATAGGAAGGGTAATTAGAAGTGGATGATTTGGATGATCCACTGAAGATGGATGAAGTACATGGTCGGATATAAACCTAGAGAAAAGACTGGGGATTTGAATTTGGAGGAGAGGAGGGATAGTGAAGATCTACAGTTCACCTACCTGTTTCTTTGGTCAGATTTGATATTTTATTTCTTATTGAGGAATTTTGAGCATGAGAGCCAAATAAAAATTTGTCGATAGGAAATTTTAGAATCCATGTTAAAACCCTTTAAACCTCTGACTAGTATGTAAGATTTGTCTGTATCATTTGATTTGGACAATTTTATCTTAAACATATCCAATGAATAATAAACAATTTGGATATAAAAGCTCCTTTGCCTCCTTTGTTTAAAATAATTTTGTAACCAATATTAGATGCCTCCTGCAGACATATTCATAGCAGTTTATGCTTCTGAACTGAGAAAGCACATTCTCAACTTCACACTAATATGATCTGTAATTCTGTGGCCAAGATCACAGCTGGTGTCTTTGAGATCAGGCAATCTCTTTAAAGACTACGTAAAAGGCAACACCTTTTCCTTGCTCTGCCTCAGGGTTTGTAGAAGCGTCAGATTTAACTGGACAGTGTTTCTTCAATGCTTCTGTTTTATCACCTATAATTTAAAAAAAGTAATTTAAAGATGTTTTGTAAATGTGTGAAATACAAATGCAATTTAAAATTTTTAAATGCTTTCACACTTTAACATTGTGTGTCCAATGGATTTTTGAGGAATATTTTAGCATTTAAGATGTCAAAACTATTTGCTGTAGTAATACTAAATTCCATACATTGTTTCAAAACATATTCTTTTCTTTTTGTTTTGTTTTCAACTAGGACCCCTACTATGGCTGGTGGCCTATTTTCTATTGACAGAAACTACTTTGAAGAGATAGGAACATACGATGCAGGAATGGATATCTGGGGTGGAGAGAATCTTGAAATGTCTTTTAGGGTAATTGAATTTTTCTTTATTTTTCTGAACATCGTATGTGGTAGCATGCACCTATCACACTCAATAATTTGCTGTCAATTTTTCCTAAGTGATTAAATTTACTGATCATTTGGTCATTATGTGTTTATTTAAAACTTTTACTAGAATCCTATTGCATGCAATGTTTATTGTTAAATTTGGAATTATGTTAAATTTACATTTTCCAAATCATTTTCATGTATAGCCAAAATGTGTTAGGGTTTTCCCTTGTTAGAGCAGAGTGCCTTCAATTTCTGATTGAAGCATTTCTCCATCAACCAATCTAGTGTTCTTTACCTGATAATTGGAGGTGTTTATGTGACCTGAACTGCAAATGCGGCATGAATCTGTTCTTAAGAAACTTTAAGATCAACTGTGGTCAAAGAATTTTGATAATTCTTCAAGAAGCATTAATGCTTTTGCAACCACAGACATTAGTGTTTAATATATTTATTTGAAAAATCCAAATTTACTTGATAAAAGAAAACTTTCAAAGGCATGAGATTTGAGGTCAAAGTTTACATAAGATCATTGAACATTCATAGGCAAAACTGGAAATGCAGTCTCCAAATGTATCTTTATTCTAGGAGGTAGAAAAGAGATTTCACATATTTTACCTTCAACCACACACATTATTTTAAAAAGAACTATTTTAATAAGACTAACTATTCCTTAATAAAATTCAATACAAAGCACTTACAGCAATAGCATTTTTAACAAAATCATCCGTAAAATTAAATGAGCAGAGTCTGAACACATTAATGTAATCAGTTGAAAATTAGTTTTGAACTTCAATTTGTAAGTTTGTTTTCCACTAACACAAAATATGTGATACTGTGTAAGAAATTGTTCAAACTTGGGGGATTGGAAAGATGTTGCGATGCTTAAAAGTACTTGCTTTTCTTGTAGACTCTACAAGTGGATTCAGATTTAATTCCCAGCACCTTCATGGTCCATCACAATCATTGTAACTTTAGTTCTGAACATCTCCATTATCTTCCAACTATGCAGGCACCAGGCACATGTGGTGCACACACACACACACACACACACACACACACACACATATACATATATACACAAAAAAAGATAAAATAAAGTAAGAAAATATGCACCAGCATTTTTAAAGATTTTCATAAAATTATTGAATAAAGTTTCAATTTTTAATTTAGAATTTAGTTTGAGGTAGTTGAGATGTTTTAAAAGCAATAGAACTGACTTTTTTCAACACATATATCTATAAGTCGGATGATTATCATGACCATAAAGAGAGTATTTTGTTTATTTCTTTATATATTTATATTATGTGTGACTTGTCAATAAAAAGTTAGAACCATTATTAGAGCTGTTTTTTTTACTATCAGGCTTATGTAATATTTTTTTGCAGAAACTTTGAAGACATTTGGAGACAGTCTCTTTTAATATAGATCTACAAATAATAACAATAAGAAATGAATCAATAAATCAAATAAGCAAACAAATAAAAATAAGAAAGGGAGGAAAAATATTAATAAACACAAAGACATTTGCTTTTATTTTTATAGGATATAATTCAAGTCTGTTAAGTTCTTATTCACAGATTTTCTGGGCATTTTCTGGCATTGTGTGAAAAAAAAAAATAGTCAACAGAATAACAGTCCAGTTACTGCTATCCCAATTGTTTACCTTCTCTGTGTTTTTCACCTTCTTAAAGTGTCATATTATCTCTGTTCTACATATTAGGCTTGTTATCTATCTATAGATCTCCTTACTTTGATTACATACATTCCACATTTGAGGGAGACTGCATGACATATCCAATGAACTACATGACTAATAGGATTATTAAGAAAAGCCTGATGAGTAAATATGACAGAGTTACACATGTGTAAAAGAGGTCTTGCAGATATCAGGAAAGCAGATGAAAGGTAACTGAGGGCCTTACGAATAATCAGTACCCTGAAAAATGACAGGAGATTCTGTGCTCGACTAGAAATATTAACAAATTAAAGTAACCGTTTTAAAGGTTTCAGACATTATTGCTTTAAGCACCATCACCGCCACCACCCCCAATTTGTCTGTGGGTTGCTCTCAAAATATATTGTGATATTTGCTAAAAACCTTGATTGACTATCCAGGTTACATATTTGATGATAGATGTATATTCAACATAGGCTGCAAAGATGACTAAGGCATGACATTTTCTTGTTCTAAAGATGCAGCAGCATTCTTATAAGACATAGGTGTGATTGACAAAAATAATTGATATAGTTTCTATATATGTCAAATAATTTCATGTTAACAAGTCCATTCAACTCACCTGAAGAAGTGACTATCATAGTAATACTTGTGTGGTTTTGTAGTTGTGGAGTTTTGGGTTAGCACTCTAAGTAGAACATTAGAAATATTGAAATTTGAAACATATAAGTATACTGGGAAGGCTTAAGGAAATTTGAAACAAAAGAAAGAAATTTATTGCCAATTGTCTTTTATTTTCATTGTGGTATCACTTTGTTTATGATGATTACTGCCATCATCTACACATTCTAGACACTAGCAAGTTGGATAAAGTTATAGACTTCACAGGAACAATGCTTCCATCTCCTTAGTAACAATCAATTTAAACACAGCAGTAAAGCATTACAAGATAACTTTGAAGCAAGAAAATAAACTTCCTTGCCACGGTATAATGGTCTTCTGATGTTGGTAGTAATTTGAGAATAGGATTGCCAAAGCTAGCATTCTGTGATCACAAGTTCTGTTGTTATGTGTCCTGCACTACATCCTCAGCCATAACGTACCAGACTGAAGAGTTGCCTAAAGAAGGGATGAGACTATCACATAAATGCATTTACTTTCCAGATTTCCAATATGGTTGCCTCATTTGTGATATCTTTCTTTGAATGATCTCTCCTGCGGTAGAAAAATGTGTAACCAGCAGCCGTGAGAATAGCTAGAGGGTGATTCTAATACCTCGGCAAAAATTTAGTTTCCAATCTTTCTCCCCACTGAACCGTACGTGTCACTGACATAAAAAAAATCCTAAGGATAATATCTAGATAGAAATGAACTAATAAATGAGTTAATTTTATCTGCATTTGACCCATTAGTGTTTTAGAAAATAACCATAGAAGAAACCAAAACAATGAACTGTTAATTGTTGGAAGGTGGTAAGGGGTTGAGATTTTGCAGAATTTATAGATTTGTAGATTTTATAGAAAAAAAAACCTGAGTGGGGAATAAATGATAAATTAAGTGAAATTTGAATTACTATAAAAGTGTCAGCTCTCTTCCTATGGTAATTTTATTAGCGTGTTACCCAACATATCTTGCTGTCAAAATTCTTTGCATTTCATAAACAATAGCACATGGAACAGTAATAATAACACAAAAACTAGTGGAACTAATACTCCATATCGTTTTGTACATGTGACAATGGAAATAGTCTGCCAGCTGTTGAATTGGTTAAGCTGTTTTAGGAAGAAGGTCTGAGAAAGCACAACAGGTAGGAACTTCCTACAAACCTTGATAGACTAATGCTTGGAAGTTTGTATTGAAAGTTAAGCAGCCTGAGCCCAAAACTAAGATCTACTGCTATCTTTGGAGGAAAGTTGGAATAGGTTAGTATATTTCCAAAGTTTTACTTCATCCATTTCTAAAATGGAAAAGACAGAGCAATACATTATGTGTTCAAAAAAAGAGACAAAATGAATTACGGATACAGTTTTGAATATCTAGTTTCCCATAGATGAAATGTATTCTAGACGTCATCTCTTGAACTATGGTAATAAATTATGGATACAGTTTTGAATATGCTGTTTCCCACAGGTGAACTGTATCCTAGAAGTCATCTCTTGAAATATGGTTATAAGCTTTGCACAAACCACATCATTGCTGAGTATCATTTAATAACAACCTTTCTGGAAAATCTTGTCTTGAGAAAATGCATCTAAAAAGCCCTTCGATGCCTGAATATGTAACACATATATAAAGTGTCTCCCAAGTTCCCCACATGAGAAGAAATAATAAGGGAAAAAGCTAAGTTGAATGAGTTATAAAAGAGTAAAATTTTAAAGAAACATGATGGGAACAAAAGTCTGTTTCTTTAGGAAAGTTGAAACATTTCTTTATGAACGTGTGGAAAACAGAGCTGACAAATATCACCAATGTTGAGAAAGAGAAAGGAGACATACTGATAGATTTTTGAATTATAAAAACTGTGTGAAAATAGTTTGGAGAATATAGAATTAACTGTGTAATACCAATTGTATAATTCTGTACCATCCAAACAATTATTATACATTTTACCTTAGGAAACGATAAAATGGGCAGTTTCCTTAAAAGTAAAAGTGTTAAAACACATTGGAAATCAACAATTAGTCTCATATCTAGTAAAGGAATATATGCGGCATAGGGAATATTTTCAGACCAGAACACTATAGCCAGATAACATTGATGGTAAATTTTATCAATGATTTCTATTGGAATACATAGATTTCAACACAAATATTTTTAAAAATTTTAAAAAATTATTACAGTACAAAGCAATGTCACTTGTGAACATGGATTTTAAAAAAGCTTACAAAATGTATCAGTTAATCTTTCAAATTAAAAATGACACCTTTAAGTGGAATTCATCACAGAGATATAATTTTCACTGAATGTTTAAAAACCAGTTAATTTAAATCTCAATACTAACAAAATAGAAGATAAAAATAAATTGACCAAATGAATGGATTTGTGAAAAGTTCTAACAAAATCATATTGTTCTGCTTTTAGGTAAAGCAGAGGAAAAATTCTTTGAACAAATGAATTATTGAAAAGTCAGTAACAGGGTTCCAGTGGGAAAAAATTAATGAAGATTGAATATAAAATCTATACACTTTTAGCAGTATAAAATGGAATGTAGGATCTTGGTAAATTTTTTGGTAATTAAGACTCCATTTGATCCCAGCACTTGGGAGACAGAGGCAGGCAAATCTCTATGAATTCGAGGCCAGTCT